GCACACCAAGCTCCCTAAGGGCTCCTGCTTCTAAGGCTGCAGACAGCTTGTTTCTGCTGAACGATTGCCAACACAGACACTTCTTGCTGAGCTTTGTCTTCTAGTGTTTCTCCACAACCTTGTTCACAAGGCTACATTTCTTTAGTGAACATCAATTGAGCAATGGTGGTTTCATGGCCTGCATTGCGGGTATCTGCTTCACCATGGACCTCCATGGGCTGCACTTGGGGGGACACTAAACCATGGTCCTCTCCATGGACTGCAGGGGAATCTCTGCTCTTTGACCCCTGCAGCACCTCCTCTTCCTTCTTTTTCACTGACCTTGGTGTCTAAAGGGCTGTTTCTCTCATACATTTCTTGACCCTCTCTCACACAGCTGCTGTGCAGTGTTTTTAACCTTTCTTAAATATATTATTGACAGAGGTGCAACCAGTTTCAGCGATGGGCTCAGTTTTGGGCAGCGATGTGTCTGTTTTGGAGCCAGCTGAAACTGTCTCTGTCTGAGACAAAGAGAGCCTCTGGTCTGTTTTCACAAAGGCCACTCTGTAGTCCTTGTGTCACCAAAACCTTGTCACATAAACCAAATACACTCCATTTCATTTTTATTTCTGGGAGATAGAGAATTCAGTCTACACAGAATAATAACTAATTATTATTATGTCCTTGATACAGAAACATATTCACATTCTTATAAGCATCACTGCATTGCCCAAAACAAAGCCTATGATAAAAATAAGCCTGGTAATAATTCCAAGTCATTCTTCAAGCAGAGCAAGACAAATCCTGAGGTCTGCAGAGCTAACACAAAGTCTAGGACTCACCAATTGCAATGCCAAGACCATATTTCTTTATCTGTAGCACTGAGTCAACTTCCTCCTGTCAGGGCTTGCAGTATAATTGTGTTTTTCTCAAAATTAGCTTGGCTGCAGGCAGGACCAATTAACTCTATACTGGACACATTTATTATGGATATTGAAGAACTGACATTTGCTTCACACCACAGCAAATCCAGAGGCTTCCCTGACAAGAAGCAAGCAGGAATGGATCATCTTTCTTCTCTTGTGCAAATCCAGACTCATTCTTGGATCATAATGGGTATGGAAATGCATTGGTTTCCAGCCTCAAGAGTGTGCCCAACACAGCTGTCCTAGGGCAACTGGAGATGGGGTAGGCACAAGCACTGAACATCATCCCTCCGTGGCATACATTTTAGGTCCTGTGTACCAAGCAGGATGGCTAGAGCAGGTGGACATTGATTTTTTTTTTTGTACAAACACAGGTCTGTGTACCACTCCTGACTTTTGGTCCAAGGCTGCTTTGTGACTGTTCTATTTTTCTCTAAGATAGAGTTAATTTTCCTCAAAATAGCTCATAGGGTGCTATGTTCTGGATTTGTGCTGAAAACACTGTTGATCATACAGGGAGGTTTCAGTTATTGCTTACACAGAGACAAGGCCTTTTCTGCTTCTCACATCACTCCACCACTGAGGAGACTGGGCGTGCACAAGAAATTAGGAGGAAACACAACTGGTTCCACTGACCTCAACTGACCAAAGGGATATTCCATACCACATGATAGCATGTTCAGCAATAAAACCAGGAGGAAGGTTGGCTGCTGCTTGGAGAATGGCTGGGCATCAGTAATTTGGTGTTGAGCATTTGTTTTCATTTGCATTAACACCATTGTGTTTCTGGTATTTTATTTCTCTCTTTTTGTTATTTTCATTATGATTTAGCATTATTATTTCATTTCAATTATTAAACTGTTTTTATCTCAACCCACAAGTTTTCTCACTTTTACTGTTCCCATTCTCCCCCTCCCATTCCCGTGGGGAGGAGTGGCAAGTTCCGGGTTCCTTAGTTGCCAGGTGGAGTTAAACCATAACAGTCCTCATTTGTGCTCCAAGTGTGGCTTGAACACACAACCCCAACATTATGAGTCACGTTCCACTGACTGAGCTAGCTGGGGAATGGGATACTTGCTGCAGCTGTTGGAGGTGTCCAGATCTGACTGGCAACTGGCCCTTCCACATAGCAGTTCTGCTGTCAGGACAGCCCTGGGCACAGTGCTGGATGTAGGTAGATGTATTCCCCAGGTTATTGTTTTCACTATTTAACACTTTCTAATGGAGACATGCAACAAAAGTTGTCAATGACTTCAGCTCAGGTCAACTGAGGAGAGTTTTGTCAAATCCAAAGCCGTCATTACCCTGGTTATTACCACAGTCTGGTCTCCCTCTTTAAGTATGCCATAGAGCTGGGAAATTGTGAAGAGTTCATTTGTGCTTTCTTGTTTCTTTTCTGCTCACTGAGACCGTTGCAGCATGTCAGGGGCAGTCCAGAGCTTTAAGGTAACCCCATCCTGTAGCATGGATCTGTGCTTGGTTTGTTCATCCAGCACTAAAGGAGAATCATCTGGTGAGCGAGGGCTGGGCATATGAAGTTCAGCAATGCCAAGTGCAAAGTCCTCCACTTGTCTTGGGACAATCTCCAATATCAATACAGGGGATGAATGGATTGAGAGCAGCCTTGCAGAGAAAGACTTGGAGATACTGGAGGATGAAAAATTGAGCTGGCAATGTGTACTTAGAGCCTAGAAAGTCAGTCATATCCTGGGTTGCGTCAAAAGAAGTGCAGCTAGCAAGTCAAGGGAGGTGATGCTCCCCCTCTACTATGCTCTTGAGACCCCCCATGGTGTGCTGCATCAGGCTCTGGGGCCTCCAGAACGAGAAAGACACAGATCTGTTGGAGCAAGTCCAGAGGAGCCCACAAAGGTGCTCAGAGGGCTGGAGCACCTCTGCTACGGGAACAGTCTGATAGAGCTGGGCTTGTTCAGTCTGGAAAAGAGAAAGTTCTGGGGAGACCTTATTGCAGCCTTTCAATAAGGAGGATTTGCGAGTAAGACAGAAAGACCTTTTAACAGAGCCTGTGGTGACTGTACAGTTTTGAATTGAAAGAAGGCAGATTTAGATAATATGTAAGGAAGAAATTTTTTATGAAGAGTGTGATAAGACACTAGCACAGGTTGCCCAGAGAAGTTGCAGATGCCCCGTCACTGGAAAGGTTTAAGGCTAGGTTGGATGGGGCTTTGAGCAACCTGGTCTAGTGAAAGATGTTCCTGCCCATGGTAAAGGATTTGAACAAGGTCACTCTCTGGAACTTCAGGGCTCTGAAGGTCACTTCCAACCCAAACCATTCTCTAATACTATGATTCTCACATGTCTGAGCAGCAGTTTTGGGCAGGCTTTGTCCCTTGACAGAAGCAGAAGTGTGGAGCTTCATCAGGTGCTGGTGCTGGGGCTCTGTTACAGGTTGGGACTGGCGGCATGTTTCTTGTTAGATGGATACAGTGCAGTTGTGAGGAGGAAGTGAGAAATGGCATGCTGGATTTTGTCTTTCTAGGAAGTTCTATCCAGTGAAACACCATGAGATAAAAGTATGTGGAGGGAAAATACAAGTTTAAGACATATCCAAAGGTCCCTTAAAACTGTCTTTTTTTTGACAGTTTACATTATAGGACCTACTAGGCTGCACTCAGGTACAGCCATCTGTACTTTATGGGGGAGTTAGAAGGAGAATGTGCGTACAGCCTGCAAGCACCTCCAGCTAACATCACCATTGTGACAGAGGCTGAGCAGACCACACTGTGTATGGAGAGTAGCTCCTGCTCACCCATCCACCTGCCAGTACATGCCACACAAGAAGCCAGGTGTTCACCTCCACCTTTCATCCTGTGAACCACAGGGATGCCTTTTCCTGTGCAAATAACTCCTAGTCTCAGATTTCCAGTTGGTTCCTCCTTGAAACCCAGTTTCTTCTTTGTTTACCACAGGACCTGTAACTTTTATACAGCTGGTGGTGAGAGGGATAAGGACAGCTGAGGGTTGCCCAGGGAAGTGGTGGAGTCACCATCCCTGGAAGTGTTCAAAGAAAAGAGTGACATGACACTTAGTGCAACAATTTAGCTGACATGGTGGTATTTGGTCAAACTTGATGATCTTGGAGGTCTTTTCCAACCTGAATGATTCTGTGACTATGACAGAGTGGGCTACGGGGGAAGGAGGACAGATGGACAGAGAGGTGGAGCAATGACTATGGCTGTGTTCACAGATAAGGACGGATGATTAGGTGGACTGAGCTGCAGATAGGTAGGTAGAAATACCTCCAGGACTTCTTACTGTTTCAGAACAGCCACCAATGCATAGAGATCTTGCTTACAGGCTGGTGTCACTCTCTGCTTTTCACAGGACATGGATAACAGCAGATGACAAAACAGGCTTCTGTGTGTCAGAAAGCAAAGGCTGCCCCAACTGCCTGCAGGTGGGAAGTCGAGTCTCCAATGTGTGTTTTATCACATCTCAGAAGAGCCATTTCAAGTGTGGTGGCAGAATTACACCCTTGAAGGAATTTCTTTTCCCATGACCCTGAGGAGACATGCAGGAAGGTGTCAGCGGTGAGGGAGGCTCAGCATCAATGAGAACAGCCCCTGCCTCATTCCCAACTGCACAATTCTTCATTTTTTATTAGCAATATTAATAACCAGTTCATAGGATGACAGAATCATAGAATCCCAGATGGGTTTGGGATGAAAGGGACCTTTAAAGGTCATCCTGCCCAACTCCCCTACTATGGGCAGCAACACTTTCTGCTAGACCATGTTGCTCCAAGCCCCGTCCAACCTGGCCTTGGACACTTCCAGGGATGGGGCAGCCACAGCTTCTCTAGGCATTTATTTCAGCTCTTTTAACGAACTAATTCATTGCCCTGACGAACTCCTCGGGTTGCCGTCTCCCCGCTCCTGCCCAGCTCAGCGTTGTGCCTGCTGCCGGGGTGCTCCCGCTTGGCTGCGCAGGCCCTCGGCTTTTTTCCGTTCCCGCGCGTCTCCCGCTCCGCTCCACGCGGGTTTTCCAGCCCGTTCCCAGGAGCGGCCCCGCCCCCTGCGGCGCTGGCCCTTTTAGTGCCCCTCCCTTCCGCCGGGGGCGCCGTCTGCGAGGGGAGGAAGGACGCGTGCGCCGTCGGCGCTGCCAAGCGCATGCGCGGCGCAGCCATGCGGGTGGTGATTGGTGAGTGGGGGGACAGTGAGAGAAGGGGGACACCGTGAGCGTGCGGGGGGACAGTGAGCGTGCGGGGGGACAGTGAGCGTGCGGGGGGACACCGTGAGCGTGGGGGGACACCGTGAGCGTGCGGGGGGACAGTGAGCGTG